TCATGAACCATCACAGTACAGATGGCTGTGAGCCATGCCTGGTGTCCACAGAAGTCATGAACCATCACAGTACAGATGGCTGTGAGCCATGCCTGGTGCCCACAGGAGTCATGAAGCATCACAGTACAGATGGTCGTGAACCAACACATGGGTGCTGAGAATCAAACCTGGTTCCTGTAGCAGAGCGTTAAGTGCTCTTCAGTGCTGAGCAAGTGTTTTAGTGTAAGGAGCCCGTCCCGTGCCCAGGCCCATCACCACTCCATGTCCTTCCTTGCTTTGTCTTTAGGTGTAGGAAGAGCACAGCAGAGGCCCGAAGCGTCTGTGCTGGGAACAAACTGGACCGGCTTCCAGCGAGCGCCTGTCCCCAGAGAACTCACACACACACAGGGGCTGGGTACAGCTCGGCGATGTGAGCATTGATTGGCCTGGCTCATGTAAAGCACTGGCTCAGAGCCCCGTACTGTGAAAAACGAACCGGACAGCCAATCCATCCTGCCTTGCTTCCTGTGTGAGCAGTCGTGTACCACAGGACTGTTGACTGAGACAGAATCTCATCATGTGGCCCTCTGGTCTAGAACTTGCTGTGTAGACTGGGCTGGATTAGAACTCAGAGAGCCGCCTGCCTCTGCTTCTTGAGTGTGGGGATGACCAGTGTGCACCCCTCATGCAGCTCACCTTTTGCTCTGAACTGCAGCCCGGACAGCCCTACCTCTGCAGTCCGGACAGCCCTACCTCTGCTGGCTAACAGAAGGTTTCTAATGCTCGGCCACCAGCTTTCTGGCTTGTGTTCTCTGTCACCTGTGTAGCCAAGGCTGGCTTCAGAGTTCAGGTCTTCTTGCCTCCTAAATTCTGGGACAAATAGGTATGTGGCACAGCACTTGGGCAGGAGAAAATAATTTGAAACACTTTTATGAAAGGAATCATGGATCAACTAACTAAATCCATGTAAGTTTTAAAGACGAACCTAAGATTTCAGCTTGAATTCCTGAGGGGTCTCAGAGGCTACGCCTGACGTCCTCAGACAGAAGGAAACTTAGGAGGGAAATGTGGGTGGCAGGCACAGAAGACACAAGACCCATAGGAACCTACCAGCTCCTTCTCCAGGCCTGAGCAGGTGGATCTGGGTGGCTCATGGGACAAACTGACAATCATTGATTTGTTTTTTTGTTTTGTTTTGTTTTGTTTTTAATTATTTAAGACAGGATTTCAGGTAGCACAGGCCAGCCTCAAACCCACTATGTAACTGAGGCTAGCCTTGGACTCCTGACTCCTGATCCTCCTGCCTCCATTTGGAAGTAAGTGCTGGGATTACAGTGCATCATGCCTGTCTTCTAACATCTCCCTGGCACACTGCTGTGAGAATCCTGCCGAGTCCTAGTGCTTTTGATACCCACGTGAGCTGCCAGCACGCGGCACTTCTGCCTGTTCCTGACGTGGAGGGGGAGCCTGGGGCAAGCTCCGCCATCATAAACACACCGGAGACCACTGCAGTCAGTGCTCAGCGAGGAGTACAGACAGCTATCCAAGAACGGGGGGAGGAAAGGAAGGAGGGTCCCCAGGCATGCCCCACCAATCACACACACCCCAGCAGACACACTCACACGGGCCCAGCCCCAGAGGGAGTGAGGCACACACACACACACCAGCAGACACACTCATGAGGGTCCAGCCCCAGAGGGAATGAGGCACACACACACACCAGCAGACACGCTCATGAGGGTCCAGCCCCAGAGGGAATGAGGCGAACACACACACAGCCAACCTTGGCAAACCGGTTGCTGCCAGTCCTCTCCTTGTGCAGGCTGTAGTCCAGAAGCCTCTTGCAAATGGTCTCAGTGACTTCAATTAACCGCAAGTCCCTGCCGAGACAGCAGCACAGAGCTGAGTTCTCTTCCCAACCCCTTAGAGTATCGGTCTGTCCCTCCAGTCCTGCTGCCCGACCGACTGACTGCCCGACCGACCGACCGACGCCTGCACATCTCACCAACAGGAAGGCAGGGCTGGAAGGAAGACAGGTCACCTGGCCTGGGGGCTCTGAAATGCTGGGACACAGACCAGAGAGACGAGGTTTTAAGAGATCTAAGGGAAGGACCTGTGTGTGTGTGTTGGGGTGGGGGGCATCTATAGAGCCTGGGTCAAAGCTGTTCCCTGCACAGGTCAGGCAGAAGCTCTAGCACTGAGTCTCACCCAATCCAATCTATTTGTTTTTACTTAAAAAGAATCTACTTGTGTGTGTGTGTGTGTGTGTGTGTGTGTGTGTGTGTGTGTGTGTGTACACACACATGCCACGTCTGTGCAGGTGCTGACGGAGGCCAGGAGAAGGCACCAGATCTCGGTGAACTGCCTGACATCCTGACATGTGTATTGAGAACTGAACCCGGGTCCTCAGAAGAGCAGCAGGTGTTCTTAACTGCTGCGTCACCCTTCCACCTCCCCCTTTTTAAAAAACCCTTGGTCCTGGGAGTCAAATCCAGGACATCACGCATGGGAGACAGGTGCTCTGCACCTCAAACCTTTTTCCTGCAAACAAAATGTGCCGGTCTTTTTTAAAAAGTAGTACTTTTAATTTGTCAGTATTAGTGAAGATACTATTTATTTACTTTTTTTTGGTTTTTTGTTTTTTGTTTTTTTTTTCTTTTTTTTGAGACAGGGTTTCTCTGTGTAGCTTTGGAATCTATCCTGGAACTCACTCTGTAGCCCAGGCTGGCCTCAAACTCAGAGATCCACCTGGCTCTGCCTCCCGAGTGCTGGGATTAAAGGCATGCAGCATCACCGCCCTGCCTTAGTGAAGATATCATGAACAGGTCTTTCTTAGTGCTCCCCGGAAACAACTTATTAGCTATCTTTTTAAATATATGTGTGTACATGTTCATGTGTGTGCATGTATGTACAAGTACACATGAATGCATACACACATGTGGAAGCCAGAGGTCAACATCAGGTATCTTCCTTGATCACTTTCTATTTTTTGAGACAGGGTCTCTCTGAATCTGCAGCTCACCTCTGGACTAGACTTAGGTATGGAGCAAGCCACAGGATCCCTCCTGGCCAGCCCTCCGGTCACTGGGATCAGAAGTCAACACTACTCGCCTGCCTGTAGGTGCTGGGGACCAAAGTCAAAGCCTCATGCACAAAAGCACTTTCCCAACAGCCATCCCCCTACTCCTATTAATCATTGCTTTCTTTCTTCTTGTTTTTTGGAGACAGGATCTCACTGTGTAGCCCTGGCTGGCCTGGAACTCATCATGCGGACCAGGCAGGTGTTGAACTCAGAAATTCACCTGCCTCTGCTGGATGCTGGGATTAAAGGGATGCACCACTGCACCCAGAAAACCATTTCTTTCAAGTCATCTGTCTGCACCTCTTGGGTCCCGACCTCATCATCTCCTTTGGGATCTGGCAGACCTGTCTATGCTGAGCATGGCAAAGCTTACCCATCTGGTTGGAAGGCTCACCTACCTGGTTGTTGCATTTTTTTTAGTAAAACCAACATGAAACAGACAAAGCAAACAATGACCAGTATCTAGACAACAATATGAGCCCCAATCACGGTGAAATGACCATTATATTCATAAATCACCCTGTGCTGCCTGAGCTCACTGAGAAGCTAACTCTGGAAACAGGTTTGTCCCACCTACTGCACACACACACACACACACACACACCCCACCGCCCCTTCAGCATATTTTCCTCAAAGTGTGCTCAAGGCATCTTGTTTGGGGATGGGCTGGTCCCCCAACTCTGTGGTGGGGAGGAGAAAACAATAAATGGGCAATGCCCAGAGTCTCATCTCCTGGGTGATTCTGGATTCTGTGCCCTTGAACACTGAGGACAAACTATTTCCAACAGATGCTATCATATCACTGCTTATCCCCTGGCCAAAAAAAAAAAAGCCACAATGGGAAGGAGAAGCAGGGAGGTCAGCCATGACTGGCTCATGCGTGGACAGAAAGCCGCTCAACTGGGAACCCCAGCCGACCGTCTCAGCTCCCCTGACTTTATCGCTGTCATTTACTGGGAAGCCTTGCTTGAGGGACGCTAGTCTGTAGGGACTTCTGATGGAGAACTCCAACTGGCTGCTTTACAGGGCTTCCCCGGTCAGTTTCTTCTAGAAGCTTTGACACCTGATTTAATGCAGTTCGTCCATCCTTCCTCTCTCCCTCCCTCCCTTCCTATCTGTACATCCATCTGCTACTTATTCTTTTATTTTGGCTTGCTGTATACTTAATAAGTCACTCATTCAAAACTGAAAATATGGCCAGGTGTGGCGGCGCACGCCTTTGATCCTAACACTTGGGAGGCAGAGGCTGGAGGATCCCTATGAGTTCTCAGCCAGCCTGGTCTACAGAGGGAGTTCCAGGAAAATTGGGGCTGTTACACAGAAAAAAGCCTGTCTCATTTAAAAAAAGAAAGTCTTGCCACATAATTAATGGTTTGTAATCAAGGTAAGTCTCCACAGGCATCCTCAGAGGCAAACCTTCATCCAGGTGATCCCTCAGAGGTGATCCCTCAGACATGCCCAGAAGCCCATCCCAGGGGAGTCCAGATTCTGTCAAGCTGATAATTAACACTAACCATCATGCCCAAGTAGGGCATAAACTTAAATTTGTCACCGTCCTGCCTCGGCCTCCCAGCTGCTGGGATGACGGGTTTGAGATACCATGCTCAGCACGTGCCTTGTTGTCTGGGCTTCTGTTCTGTCCTATGTAGCTCTGGGCAGCTCGAACTCTCAGGGCAAACCAAGGAGGCCACAAACCGGCAACAGTCTTCCACCTCCCAAGAGCAAGGTCTTGGGATTAAGGGTGTACATGCACCATCACCGCAGGGCTTCTCTAATTTCTTTTAATTTTTATTTTATGTGAATGGGTGTTTTGCCTGCAAGTCTGTGTACCATGTGCATGCAGTGCCCAAACAGGTCAGAGGAGGCGCTGGATCCCCTGGAACTGGAATTCCAGACGGCTGTGTGATGTTATGTGGTGCTAGGAATTGAACCCTGGACCTCTGAAAGAGGAATGTATGCTTTTAACTGCTGAGCCATCTCTCCAGCCACCTCATATCATTTTGAAAAGATGATCTTAACTGACATAAGCTGTTTTTGTTTTTTATATTTTTATCTGGCAAAATAAAAGTCTGACACAAAATAAAAGTAATCCAACTGACATAACCTTTCATCTCAGCACTCAGGAGGCAGAGGCAGGTGGATCTCTGTGAGTTTGAGGCCAGCCTGTTCTACAGAGTGAGTTCCAGAACAGCCAGGGATACAAAGAGAAATCCTGCCCCCCAAAATAATTAATTAAAAAAAAAACCCTCTGGTAATCCCATGTTAGCAATGTTTTGTTTACTTTGTTTTCTTTTGAGACAGGGTTTCCCTTTGTAGCCCTGGCTGTCCTGGTTCTGGATCTGCTGACCAGGCTGGTCTGAACTCAGAGAGTGCCCTGCCTCTGCCCCCAAGCACCAGGATTAATGTCACACACCATCACTGTCCGGCAATATTTCTTATAAATTACACTGGTTGTGAGATCTATGGCTTCAGGGATTCATCAGGAACTTGCCAGGTCCCTCATGCGCAGTCTCACTTCTTTAGATGAGGCATTTGAGGCACAGAGAAAGGATTTAAGAGGGTCCCCTAACCTTTAGTGGCAGAAGCAGAGGGCAAATTTGAGTCTATTACTGTGACCAAAGTCTCTGTTGTGGGTTTGCCTGCATGGAAGGAAAACAGCAGCCACAACTCACCCTAACTCAGCCCTCTCCCCCCAACCCCACCCCCAAGTCCCGAAACAAAGGCAGGCCAGCCACCAAGTCCCCGTTCACTTACGACTTGGTGTACTTGACTCCAGAGGCTTTCCGGTCCAGAATGCCGTAGCCTGTGTCAATCACTTCCTTGGTCTTCCCGGTTTCTTCAAAAGCTGATTTCAGCTCCACTGCGACATACTTGCACACTGGAGAAGGTAAACACGGAGCAGCCTGCTGAGTACACACAGCTTCTTCTGGGAGGCCATCATGCAGCCAAACAAACCCAGAAGGGCGCCCCTCCTAGCCTGGGCCAAACCAATATTCAGTTTGGAAATTAGTTCCAGGCCACAAATAGAGCTCATTAATGCATATCCATTCCCGGCCTTTATCTGTATAACTCAACTCCCATCACTTTACCCCCCCTCCCCCCAAAAAGCGCACTGTGTCTTATCTCTCTTCTGTGCTCTTTTTGGGGCTGTGGGGGGGGGGTTGTGTATCTGTGAGCCGCGTGTGGGCCACACGAGACACGGGGAAAAAAAGTGTCTCAACATATCGCGGGGTGTTGTGGCACACATCTTTAATCCCAGCACTCAGGAAACAGAGGCAGGAGGATCTCTGTGAGTTCAAGACCAGCCTTCTGTATCTAACAAATTCCAGGACCACCAGAGCTCCACGCTGAGATCTATGTCTCATTAAGTAAAGAATCGGTGAGGCTGGAGAGAGCGCGCCATGGTTAAGAGCACTGGCTGCTCCTGCAGAGGACCTGGGTTCCGTCCCCAGCACCCACATGGCGGCTCACCACCATGCTACTCTAGTTCCGGGGAACCAACGCCCTTTTCTGGCCTTTGCAGACATTACATGAGTGAGGTGCACATACATACATACATATATATACATACATATACACATACATACTTGTAGATAAGTACATACACACAAAATAAATCTTCAAAAATAAAATAAAAATAAATGTGCTGGAGAGGTGGCTCAGCAGGTAAAGGGGTCACTACCACACCTAGTGAGCTGAGTTCCGTTCCCGGGACCACAGACTGGCATAAGCTGTCCTCTGAGCTCCGTAGGCACACTGTCCTCTGAGCTCCGTAGGCACACTGCCCCTGGTCACCCCTCCAGCCGCCCAACAAATAAATAAATGTAAACAAAGTTTTAAAATAAAATATTCATGCACATTACACTGACAGAAGAGGATGAAAAATTTCATTTTCTCCTCACATTCAACAACTGTTAATGATTTACCCTGCAATATCTACATTTAATAATCATCTCAACAATTATACGTCATCATGTACTGCCTGTGAACAAGAACTCTGTATAGCCAGAAAGAAATCATGGTACTCGGGAAATGAGTGGGAGTCTTCTTGATTTCACGCATTCCCCCACCAGCTCTCTCTGGCTGTTGTTTCTCTGTTCCAGAGAGGCCTGTCTGTGTGCATGCATTTCCTTGTCCTCCCCTGCTCAGGTATTAAGCAACCGTTGTGTGCTGAGCACTGGGGACAGGGACATGGAAAACATGGTCCCACCTTTCTCTGCTCACTGTCAAAGAGCAAAGGGTATTAACAATTAACCAGGAGGTTAACCACCACCCTCAGCGTCAGCACCTACAGTGTGATGCACCCACGGCCCTGGGAAAGGGGTTAATGCTCTCTAGAGGCTTCTTTGACCCAGTCTCCTGACACCCCAAGAAAGTTCTGAACTTGTCCCATGTGCGCCTGCCTTCACTGGGATGCCTTCAGTGCCTTCAGTGAGATGGCTATGATCCCTGGAAGACCCAGCTCAGACATACAGGTCTTCAAGGGTAAGCATCGTCGCTGGATTTCTTCTGTGTTGTCCTGGTCTGGTGCCCTGTTACATATTGAATGCTTGATAATTATTGCTGATGGAGTTCATGTGGGATTGTCTGAATGGAATTTCATCTGCAGGCTACACACACACACACACACACACACACACACACACACACAGAAGATAATGACGACACTACCCTGAAGGCTTGTTTGGTGTAATTTTATGTTAACAAGTCCATTAATTGATGCTTGGAGAACTTGGAACACAAACGTCCCAATTACAAGCTGGTGATTTCAGAGTCTCCAGTGTACCAAGGTTCTCACCTCCCTGCTTCCCCATCCTGAACCATCTGGCTCCCTCCCCACCCCGTTCTGTACTCCCTGCAAACTCATCATTCATGTTCTGGCTCCTCAGCCCATTCTCCCCACAGCCTCAGCAGGGGGTATTCCAGAAGGGAGAAAAAAATGAAGGTTTCGAACATCCCTTCTCTTAGACCCATCAAGTAACACCTGCTTTCCCACTCTTCCAGAAGTTACTTCTTCAAGACCACCCCGTGGGGAGGAGCCCTCTCAGAGCCAGACTTGGGGGAGACTCATGGCACAGACCCCAGACCCTCATGGACAGCAGCCTACTTTTTCTGGGCAGGTTCTCCTTCCTCTGTGCTGAGGCCTGTTCCACTCAGACTACTAAGCCCGAAGGCAGGCTCTGTGAGCCAGATAACAGTCAGCGATTAATAGCAAAGGCGCAATACTAATAAACATAAATAAATACAGTATGAAGAGGAGCCTAAGGGTCAACGTTTGCCAAACCACTCCATGACTGAAAAATCCTTTGTAAAATTAATATTCACTGATTACAAAATCAGTTTGGGCTTGATGGTTTCTAAGACCCTTGCCAACTCTATGCTTCTGGGTCTATGAAGCTCTCCTAAGGAAAAGATATGAGCTTGTGAATAAAAATAAAAATAAAAATAAAAGGAAATAAAACCCCAGGACTAGAGGAAGAGACAGAAAGCATCCTGGTACAGACGGGACTCTTTTTTTGTTTTGTTTTGATTTTGTTTTGTTCCAAGACAGGGCTTCTCTGTGTTGCGCCGGCTCTCCTGGAACTCACTCTGTAGACCAGTCTGGCCTTGAACTCACAGAGCTTTATCTGCCTCTGTCTCCTGAGTGCTGGGATTACAAGTAAGAACCTTTACCAGGTACCCTTCCAGTGAGGTCTGAAGAGTCTAGAGAGTGTACTTAAGAAAGAAAATTCCACCAGGCAGTGGTGGCGCATGCCTTTAATCCCAGCACTCAGAAGGCAGAGACAAGAGGATCTCTGAGTCTGAGGCCAGCCTGGTCTACAGAGAGAACTCCAGGACAGCCAAGGCTACACAGAGAAACCCTATCTCCAAAAACAAAAAACAACAACAAAAATCTCCTGTGTATTCATTGACTCACTTAAAAAAAAAAATCCTGTGTATTATAGTGTATGTGTGTGTATGCACGTGTGGGTAAGCACATGGAGGCCAGAGGTGCTTTCTGATACTGCTCTTCACCTTATTTTTCTTCAGACAAGGTTTCTCACTTGAACCAGGAGAGCGATGATCTGGCTACACTGGCTGGTTAGCAATGTCTAGGGTCCTCCTGGGTATGTCTCCCAGCGCTGGGATTACAGGCACACGGACATTGCAGCATCTGGCATTTTACATTTGTCCCAGGGATCTGAATTCAGGTTCTCAGACATGTGCAGCAATCATTTGCCCACTGAGCCGTATCTCCTGGCCCCATTCTCACTTTTAACTGCTCAAATGGAAGGATTATCCGTCTCAAACCAACTGTCCCACTTCCCAGTGCTTAGGGAACATCTGGCCTGGTGCAGATCTGGCTTGGTGCAGGCTTTGAATGAACATAAAATGGATTTCCAGAATACTTTGGGGAAAGCTTCGAGCTAGGATGAAGAAGGGGGGCACGGGGGTGGGGTGGGGTGGGATGGCTGTAAAGGCCTGAAAAGAAGCCAGAAAAACGAAGAGCAGGACAAAGGGAGGTCTGAGATCCTCAACAGCTGAGCTCCTGCCTCCACTCCTGGTCCTCTCAATTTATAAAATCTTCCTCCTTCACCTAAATCTCTCCTGGGCTCTATGCTTCCCCGAAGTGACCTCTTGATCCTCGGAGCCTCCTCTCCACACACATGTAATCGTATGTATTCCAAGAGCTTTTTTTGTTCGTTTGCCAATAAATACCTACAACCAAGTCCTTGCCCTCAAGAAGCAAAAAACCCATACACACACATTAGGTTGGAGTGAAGGCACAACGAAGAATGTTTCGCGTTCCTTTTCTGAGTCATATGGACCTTTTCAGTTCCTCAAACTCGCCCTTCATTTGCCTCTGCTTCTGTGGTTTTCGCGGAGTGGGTTTTCTGCACTTTCCTTTTCCTGGCCAACTCTTAATTTCACAGCAGGCTTAAGCCTTCCCTCCACCCCCACCTCCAGGCTAGATAAGCAGCTGCGCCTCGGCCAGCCTCGAAGCCCGGACATCCAGCTTATCCGAGAGGCCCAGCACCTAGCAGTGCCGAGCCCAGGGCAGGGCCAGTGAGACCCCGAGCCCAGGACCCTGGCCCACAGGCCCCGCCCCGCCCCGCCCCTCGGCCGGGGTACGCCCCGCGGCCCCGCCCCCTCACCTTCGCATTTGCTGGGCAATCGCACCCAGTCGGTCTCCTCCGCCCGGGCGCGGCTCGGGCCCAGCAGGAGCAGCAACGACAGCAGCAGCAGCGGAAGCAGGAGGCAGCGGGGCGCGAGCTCGGACATCGACTCCATGGCCCAGCCGGACCCCGAGCGGAGCGGACCGGGCGGCGCTTCCTCCAGCAGCGCGCGCGGAGCAGCTTCCCCCGGCCGCTTCCGGGACTGCACACGTGCCTCCGAGTAACCACGGCAACAGCGAGCCCCGGCCCGCCCCCTCGCGCGCGGCCTCGGGCGGCTTTCGAAACGGACCGAGGCCCCGCGGGCGACGCAGCCAATGGGTTCGCTGGGCGTTTGCCTTTTTAGCGAATGGGGAAAAAACGATCTTTTCTTCCACCTGGGCCAATCAGAGAGCGGATGGTGGCTGCGGCGACCAATAGCGATCTCTCCGCCTCTAACGGAGGTTTGGAGAGCCTGGAGCATCTTGGTCCTCCGGAGCAGATGGACCGGGTTTGGCAGCTCTGAGCATGGATAACGTGGAGCGGTCTCTCTTTGATAGTTTTTGTTTGGGGTTGTTTGTTTTTCGAGACAGGGTTTCTCAGTGTAGCCTTGGCTGGCCTGGAACTCAGTCTGTAGTCCAGGCTGGCCCCAAATTCAGAGATCCACCTGCCTCTGGCCTGTGCTTCCACACCGGGCATCATGCCTTTCTCTTTTAAGGTGTAAAAAAGTTTTTATTTTATGTTGGGGAACGACTGAAATCAGTTGCTTCTTTCCACCATGCAGGTCCTGGGCATCAAACTCTGGCCCGCAGGCTTGACGGCCACCTCTTACCCGCTAACCCTCTTCATGGTTTTCTTTGCAACCCTTCACTAGACACCTGCTTTTAAATTTTATTATTGCAGCCACCCACTCTAATACATGCCTAGGGACTCACAACAGCTCTGATGCCCATTAACCTTGCATTAGTGACTTCTCTGACCAGAAAGCTCTTTGTTTGATGACAGATACCTACCTCCTACATCTCTGTGAACCTTGCCTATTGGGAAGCGCAAATCAATTCATGAATTGATGGTTTGGTTTGGTTTGGTTTTTTGAGACAAGGTTTCCTCTCTGTAGTCCTGGAACTCACTCTGTAGACCATGCAGGCCTTGAACTTAGAGATCCGCCCTAACTTTGATCTTCCTTTTCTGACTGCTACCTTTGTCTCTTGTCTCCCGTACCTTCCCTTCCGTTTGAAACATGTAAATCTTGTCTGAGAGTTTCCTAAGTGTGCAAAGCCTATGCCGAACTTGGTTGTGGGGGGACTCCTAACTGAGAATTTGCATTTGGCATTGTCTCTTTGGGGAGCTTAGACTTATCTAAGGTGTTGGTTTATGGAAATTAAGTCCACCAAAGGCTGATTCCCCTGCAGCTGGAAGGGCTAAAGAATTGTCCTTAAAGTGCCTCTCTGTCTTCTTTCCACCCCGGATACAATAGCCTCTGCCTCCCTGGAATTAAAGGCTTGCACCACTACCATATAGGATTAAAGGGCCAAGGAAAGAACACCCTGCCCCTGACTTGACCCCAAGCCTAGGGCCAAGAAAAAGAATCTCACCAATCCCTGAGCTTGCCCCGAGACCAGGCCACCTGGAAAGCTCTGCCCGCTCCCAAGAAACCCTATATAAGCCTTGCCTTCTGCTCAGTTCCCTGCTGCTTCGCAGTCAAGCAGAGGCAGCCACCCTCCTGCTTTTGGCCTCCCAGTCTCTGGTGTGAGGTTTGCTGTGCAGTGTGACACTGGTATTCCTTAGCTTCCCTGGCTCCCGGTTGCTCAGAGCTGTAACACACCGGGAAACCTTCCCCCACAGGAGCAGAGCTGTTAGGCTTGCTCTGAGGAAACCCCCCCACACCCCCACACCCCCACACTGTACCAGAGCTGTAACACTTCCACTGGGGAAGCCTTTCCCCGCAGAGCTGTAACATTCACACATACCCCCTGGCATAAGGAGGGATTGAAAATGAATGAACAAGCTAGGGCTGTATAGCTCAGTGGTAGAGCCCTTGCCTCGCACGCACAAATCCCTGGTGTTCCATCTCCAGGCTGGCATAAACGTGCAGCTGGGTGGTGATGCTGTGAGACCAAAATGAGCCATCTTAGAAATGCTTTCACCCAAAAACTAAGGCCAACGATTTCTCCTTTTGGAGATCACAAAAATGCCTCCACCTGAGGGCAGCCAATGAGAAATGGTAGTGGGCAACCACTCCCTTAGAAGTAATTTCTAGAAGTCCCTAGAAGCGAATCAATCAGAATTGTATCCATACTAGCACCCCTAAATGATGTAACCTTGTGACTTTTCCCTTTAAAAACTGAGCTTGCAGACAGGTGGGCACTTCCTCCTGCCTCCACTGCGTTGGATGTATTGGATGAAGTCCCTGCCTAGGCTTGTATTGCTTTTGGATATCCAGAATTAAACCTTGCTTTTGCATTCCTGCATGCTCGTCTTTGGTGGTCTCTCTTGGGGTCACGATCTGGGCACAACAATGCAAGCCTGTAATCTCAGCATTCAGGAGGCAGAAGGAGAGGGTTAGAAGTTCAAGGCCATCCTTGGCTGCACAGTCGGGTGCAGCCTGAGCTACAGGAGACCCTGTCTCCAAAAGGAAAACCCCTTGAAATGTGTGGAGCCGAAGGAAAACATTCCAGCATTT